GCAGGATTTGGAGGTCGTTATGGAGTGGAGGAAGGTCGAATGGATAAGGTCAGTATTCTGCAACTATTCATTATTTTGATTATTGATTCATCTGCTGATTTTTTTTCTGTTTATTTCATAAAATACAAAGAAACTATAGAAAATTTATATCAGAGGGTGCCCTAATAGCTGAATGGTTACAGTGCGGTGTACATATACCCATGCACAGCGCTTGCATATTATCAGGGGGTTGACCCCAGCCACTGATATTTGTTGCAGGTCTGCTCTCCTGTCCCCCTCATTTCTTGTCCAACTCTCTGTGACCCACTTACTAAAATAAAGGCAAAAGGTGCCCAAAAAATTTACATCACAATTTCCTCACAAACTAAAAGAAAAAGCTGATAAAACTGGCTTTAGGTATGATTACTCTATACAATAAAGTCACAGGCATCTATGTTGACTATAATGAGTACATCTTCCTCTAGAGTGCAGTCGGCTTCTCAGACATGGACTCCCCCACCTCTTCTTATCAAAAGACACAACCACTGGAGGCCTGTAAGTTCTTTCTTTCCTCTGTCCAACCCTATTGTATCCACAAGTGATGAGTAGTCTCTGTTGAAATGACCTGGAAACAGGGCAGAGGACATTTCTAACACACTCTGTTCCTGTTCATTTCTGTCTGTGTTATGCAGCAAGTGCAGGTGCAGGGAAACTGAAGGCGCGTTTTGAGAACATGGCCAAGGCTTCAGATGAAGAGAACAGGAAGAAAGCAGAAGAAGAGAGAGCAAGGAGACAGGCCAGAGAGAGCCGAGAACGAGAGGAGGCCAAACGCAGACAGCAGGTATGAACATGCACTGCTTTGAAAATACTGTATGCAGAGGTAAAAAAAAAAAAAAAGTTGATTATACACTTAATTATTTTGTGTTTTGTTGTTTCCTGTAGGAAGAGAACAGCAGAGAAGATGAAGTTTGTCCACCACCTATTCCAGATGTGGCTCCAGAGTGCAACGTGCCACCAGAAATGCCCCACCACATGCCACCAGAAATGCCCCACCACATGCCACCAGAAATGCCCCACCACATGCCAGAGATAAAAGAGATTGCTGAACCTGAACCAGAGCCAGAGGTTCGACTCTGATTCAGTACATCATCAGCTCTACCAGATAACAGATATGTTAATTCACCTGTTAAAAGGATAAAGTTGATGATATTCTATTGTCATCAAATGCCATAAAAAGACCAAAACCGCCATCTCCCAATACATTTTAACTTCACTATCTTACCTGCTCAGCCAAATGTAATGGTAATGCATGAGAGGCATATGAAAGGGCTACATCTTATATTAAATCTTCTTAGGTCATCACATAACCAAATGTTTCTGGTGACATTTTCAGGATCAACCAGAATACGAGGAGCCCCCTGCCTTGCCTCCACGCTCAGATGACTTCCTCGATGCTCCACCACCACTACCTGACAGGTCAGCAGAGGTGGAGGAGGATGAGGGAGATTACGAGGACATCGCTGACGCACCTCCTGCTCCACTGACAGGTCTGTGTCTCAGTAGGCTGCTGAGTCAAATTTTCACATGCCAAGCATTTGTTGATTTGAGTGTTTTCTTTTATAGCCGATGAGAACGACTACGAAGACCTGACAGGTGGCCAGAAGGCAATAGCAATTTATGACTATCAAGGAGGTATGACACCTCTTCAGATTTTCAGATTTTGACAGTTAATTGTCTTCTCAACATTTGCAAGGACAAAATCCTTTGGTCACTATTTTCACAGAGGCAGATGACGAGATCTCCTTCAACCCTGATGACGTCATCACCAACATAGAGATGATCGACGAAGGGTGGTGGAAGGGACAGTGTCACGGTCGCATCGGCCTGTTCCCGGCTGCTTATGTTCAGCTGATGCAGTGAGAGTCGTGCTCCAACAGTTTTTTGCACAAGCCCCACTTGAACTTCAGGTTGTGTTCATTCATAAGGAATTTAAATTGCATAAGGATTTTAAACACTGTATTTATATATAAAAAAAATAGCAAAACCATCAGAATAGCTTCAGCTGATTTCAGTACTGTGTAATATCTTGCTTAGGGTCTGTCAGTCAGTCAGTCATTTTCTACCGCTTAATCCCTGAGCGGGGTCACGGGTGGGGCCGAAGCCAATCCCGGCCGGCAATCGGGCGAAGGCGGGGTACACCCTGGACAGGTCGCCAATCCATCGCAGGGCGCTTAGGGTCTGTGTCAATGAGTATTTGAGGGTATTACGACCCCCAAAACCACATTAAACACAAGATGTTAAATTCTCTGGACAATGACTGGTCGATCAGATGTCCCTCTTTGTGCTGTTTGTATGTATCTTTTATTGCTGTCCATTTCTCATCAGTGTCAATTTACAATAGTATTAAAGCCGAGAGATAGTAGAATGACTGGTTTTGGTCTTTTAATTTTAATCATATTATTTTACATCATTCTGTTGTCCAAATGAAAGACCCCAAACAGACTATGCTTACATTTATCCAAATCAGATACCGTTTCATGTGATGCAGTTTTCTGGTGTTTAACAGCAGAATACAGTTAATTTGATTTTCTCTTACATATGCACTGACAACAGAAAAATATTATTAATGTTGTGTTATTTATTTCAGTCATTTTGTGCAGCCCAAAGTGGAATGAAGCAAACCCCTTGAAGAAATAACAATCAGTGATTGATTCAGTGATTTCATTTATCTGAGTATGGAAATATTTAACTTCTAGCAGAGTATATGTGTGTCTCACCTCTATACATATGAGGCACTAAGCCACTTTGAAGTCAGATATACCATGCGTGAGTTTTTGCTTTCATAACAGTTGTCCTGATATTAAAATGAAGCTGTTGTTCCCTAACATTTTCCTGCAGGGAATTACCTTATAATAACAGACTGAATCTTGTAATCCACTAAAAAGAATGAGATCCAATAGCAGAAAGTCTGCCGTTTCCATGTACGAAACAATACATGAAGTGATCCTGTTTCTGCATCAAGCAAAGGTCCTTTGGTGTCCCCTGTTTTACCAGGCGATGCCTTTCTTCTTCTTCTTTCCCTGGCCACTTTTCTTTGCCATCCGTTTACTTTTCAGTTTCTTGGCCTGACGGTTGCTCATCCACGCAGGGTACTGTCCATTTTCATCCAACATAGTTTTCTTGTTGCGCTTGCTGTCCATGTCCATCTTCCCTTCTAAAACACAGACAAAGACATGAACTGGCTAAATGGGAGAGGCTTTAATAAACACGTCCCAAAAACAAAATCACAATATAATTTGGTTACTGATAGCAACATTGACAATTTAAAACAGAAATCAGACAACACAACTTATTACATACACTTTAAAATGCCTAAATGTTAAGTTATAAAAGCTGATTATCCCTGTTGTGCTCAAGCTGACACTCACCGTCACCCTCTACCTCCACCATTTCCACATCTGCCTGCTTCTTGATCTTATCGCCCGGCACCAATGTGGCAATCTCTTGCATGTCAGTCATGACAGCTTCTCCTTTCTTATCCAGGCTCAGAGCTTGTTTCAGTCGAGCCAGCTCCTTGGGAGCATTTTTCTTCCTCTTCTCTGCACGCATCTTCCGCTTCCATTTGCTCCGCAGGCTTTTTGCCATGTTAAGGATGTTCTGGAAAAAAAAAACACCAGTCAGCTTCTTTTGCAAGAAATTTATTGTCCCTGTTTTGGAAAATAGCTTTAATCACATAGCGTTAAAAGCAATGGAGGACAAAGATGAGGACAAACAGCGGGGACAGTGCATCAACAAACAATATGATTTAAAATGCATAATTATGCGCTGATGGGATACAAACCACTGGAGACCAAACGATGAGTAAGTATCAACACAGTATGCTTCAGCATTAGGACAGCTTTCTTTAAACTCTATGTAACATCCCACACTTTGCTTTTGATACTGATACCCCCACCCCCACCCCACACGGCCAGAAAATAGCCAGAGGGAGAAATAATAGAAAAAAATAATATCCATATTTCTGTAACTGTATTGGCAAAAAGCTCTGTGGCAAGTTTAAAACTAACAGCGGCTTCTAATAAGAGGGTATGATACCAGTAATGACAAGTAGTTATAAATATGAGGAAAAACTCACACCTCTTGTCTACAGCTACAGGCAAGACCGCAGTTTAACACTGTAGTTACACATTTAATTGTTAGAAGTTATATCCGTTTACAGCTATATAGCGATTACCCTTATACCCAGTTTAACTTAGCAAGCTAAGTAAACAGTTAGCCACTTAGCTATTCAATTGCTACTGTGGAACGGCCTTTAAAACCATCTATTTCCGCATGCTACGTTACTTCAGTGTATTACCTGAACAGACACAAAAGGTATGACTTACCAACGAGTGATTTTGATTAGCGTTTTCAAATTTCTCCGTAGACACCCAAACAACGCACACTGCTCCGTACACGTGTTTACAAGTTGAAAAAACGTGATGACGTCGTTTAAAAGAAGCTACAGCATGATTGGCTCTTTTAGTCAATCTGAAGACTATGACCTCTGATTGGCTAACAGAACCAGTTCCAGGAAGGTTGTAGGATTGTGGCCCGTAAACAAAATGTCGAAGAACGGATAATGTGAAAATTAGCCCTCCAAACAGGCTCATTTAGCACCCAGCTATAAACAGAATTATGAACAGCAAAGGAATATGTTGTAATTAATATGTTTTTTGTTGTATTTGTCTTATAATTCTCAGTCATGAGCAGCTGTTCAAACAGTTTAGCTCCGACTCGTAGCCTGGGCTCAGTCTGCAGCCCTCCGCCCTCTTCTGCTTTAACACAGATGCTTAGCATGTTGGACACAGCTGCAGAACAAATGATGGTCAACAAAGATTTCCAGGCAGCCTTTGATACTTGTAATAGAGGTCTGGAGCGTCTCTGTGACATGGAGCCAGAGGATCGCAGGTGGAAGTCTTGAGTCTCACACGTCACCTGAATGCACTTCATGTCACTTGAATACTTCCTGCAGCCTCAATATTAAATGTTTAACTGTTTCTACGTTTTGTCGCCTCAGGTGTGGAGAGCTTAAAGCCGGTTTCTGCATCTTAGGGATTCAAGCCCTGGCTGAGTTGAATCAGTGGCGTGGTGTACTCTCCTGGGTCCTTAAGCAGTACAAACACCAGGAGGAAATACCAGCTAAAATAATGCAGATGTGGTGAGTAGAGCTCAAACAGCTCGTCCCACTATCAGTTCATTTAAAAGAAAATGATTCACAAATGAAATTCGGTATTTGTTTAAATTATTTAGCAAGCTAAAAATGTTAGTCACTTTTCTTATTTTTTGCATGTACAGCCATGGTCAAAAATGTTGGCACTCCTGCATTTCTGTCAGATAATGCACCACTTCTCCCAGAACATTGGTGCAATCGAAGATTTTTGGGCTTTTTCTCTTTATTTTTTTTACATTGGAACAACACAAAAAAGCCAAATCTGATATATTCCACACAGAACTCCAAAAATGGACTCAACAAAATTATTGACATCTTTTCAAAATCTTCAGAAATAGTTGTGTGTCAGGCTTGTGATGCTCCTATAATTTGTAATGAAACTCACCTGTAGCAATCAACACGTGCTGGCAATATAGAAATCACACTTGGAACCAGCTAAAATGGAGAAAAGTTGACTCAACCTTTGTGTAGTGTGAACCACACTGAGCATGGAGAAAAGACAGCATCAGCTCACACTAACCGTCACTAAATGAATGACAGGGGACACTATGGTAGGAGACCTAGGGGGCCCCCACTGCTGACACAGAAACATAAAAAAGCCAGATCGGAGTTTGCAAAACTTACCTGGAGAACGCCCTGTGGACAGGTGAGACTAAAATAGAGCTTTCTGGTTGAGTACATCATTCTATTGTCAGAAAACAAAAGAACACACTCTCTACAGTCAAACACAGTGGAGGTTCTCTGGTGTTTTGGGGTTCCTTTGCTGCTTCAGCCACTAGATGTCTTGGCTGTGTGTATGGCATTATGAAATCTGAAGACTAACAACGAATTCTGGGGCACAATATAGGGCCCAATGTGAGAAAGTTGGGTCTCTGTCAGAGGTCATGGGTCTAACAGCAGGACACTGACCCAAAGCAGACTTCAAAAAGTACCACAAATGGTTTCAGACAATGAGCCGGAGAGTTCTGAGGTGGCCAGCACTGAATCCAGGTCTAAATCCCATAAAGCACCTGTCCAGTCCATTTTTGGAGTTTTGTGTGGAATGAATCAGATTTGTTTTTTTCCCTCTGCTTTTTGTTTTGTTCCAATGCAAACAAAATAAATAAACATGAGCGTACCAAAGAATTTATGATTGGAACAATTTTCCCAGAGAAGTGGTGTGTTATCTGACAGAAATGTAGGAGTGTCAATATTTTTGGCCATGACTAAGGTTTTGATGATTTTTGCTGTTTTTATGTTGAATTGAATTTCTTTAGATTGTGGGCTATCACTTTGACCTCGTAAAAGTGAATTTTTCATTTAATCAGGAATTTTTTTTTAAAGATTATGAAAATAATCATTAGATATAGCGCTCATGGTGAATAATCTAAGGAACTTCATACATTACTGACTAGCCAGGCCAGCCATCAAACAAATGGCAAATATTTAGTTTTTCTTTTTTTGTCTCTTAAAGGGCTTTCAAATAGGACACAGTATGCACTGCGCTCACCGCGGGCGTTATGTGCAGCAGCAGGGAGGAGGGTGCACATTGCATCCGTTGGGTGCAAGTTGTTAGGCTAACACAAAGCTTTCCAGGAGGTGGTTATCAGATGTTAACTAGTTTTTCGAGCAGCAGACTTGAAACCACGATGCATCTATTTACATGTCAGTGAGAAGCTCTGGCTTTAGTTGATTGATGAGGAGGAGGTGAGGTGCAGCCAAGAAGATGAGGGTGTGGGTCTGCCAGAATCAGCTTCTTCATTTTCTTTGTGGTCTGTCAGGTTCTTTACAATTGGGCGCATCAAGGTGTCTTTACAGAGCACTGCGCCGAAGTTAAACTCTTTTTAACTTCAGTGCAGCGCACAGGGATGGCAAGCACGACCTCATGCTGTGCTCAGCTCAGCTCAGATGCATTCTTGCGCTGTGCAACACTGCGAATAATGGGTTGAATAGCAGAGCACAGCACCCACCGACTCCCATCTGAAAACAGCTTTATTCTTGAATTTATTTTCTTTTTTTCAAGCTAAGAGGAAAACCAAGTAAAAGCTGTTAACAAATAACCTGCCTGTCATCTTTTCAGTAAATAATGTATTTGTTTTGTAACTAAAATGTTAGAAGTCATGAAAATGCCACTTATGTCTCAGAGCTCAAGGTGGCATCTTCTTGCTTTATCAGACTCTGTCCAAAGCCCAAATACATTCATCTTATCATCTTGTATGACAAGAAAAGCAACAAATCATTACACATGAGAAGTTGAAATTTAAAAAAAAAAAAGTTTGTAAAATGACTTCAATAATTAACAATTATCAGAATAGTTGCAGATTATTTTTGTCTTTCTCTCTGTTTTTGGCAGCATACTTCTTTACGCTAAGGTGGGTGAGCCTGCTGTGATTCAGGAGGCAGCCACAGATTGGTTACACTGCCCGTCCAATAGCAGTGTGTCAGGGTTTGGGACTGTTGCAGAGCTCTACCTGCTGCATGTCCTCGTGCCACTTGGACACACAGAGGAGGCTCAGGAGTTGATTGTTGGTGATGTCGGAAGCAGTGCGTTCACTGAAGACCAGAGACAGACAGCCTTGGAGGTTGTAGAAGAAAAAGAACGACAGAATCGAGAACCGCCTCTAAATCCTGATTGTAGCCCGGACTCAGAGATTGCTGCACATACTGTCCCAAGTCAAGGTCAAATTTCAGTTCAGCCTTTGATTAGATCTATTTTAGCAAGTCATAATGTACAAATAGTAAATGCAGATAGTCTTTCTAAATGTGTTTGTGTTCTACAGGTGCTGGGATTTATAAACTGGGCACCATGCTCAGGTTTTTATACAGAAAGCTCTTGATGAGCAGCTCTGGCTCATTCGCTGTCCGAAGAGTCCTCCTGGCTGCTGTCCTTCTCTACATGCTCTTTGTTCGAATGGATCCAGGTTGGATTCAACATCAACATATTTTACTTTCCTCAACAGCCTTGTTGAAGTATAGAACATTTGATTAGGAGTAAAGTGACCTTCCTACTCTTTGCCCACAGCTCTCCCATCTTCGTTCATGTGGATTTCCAAGCTTCTTGAAGTGCTCAAACAGATGTGGAGAGCCATGTTTGCACCGTACCATCAGACTCTCACTGAGAACAAGGGACTCTGAAAGACTCAAAATCACTATGTTTCGATCATCATTTTGATTTATTTTTGCATTTTGTTTGCAAGAGAACACTGCATAGTCCCTTTTACAAGCTTCATCGTACCTATAAAATCACTTGTGTTAACAACATTTGGTACTTTTATTTGCTGTTCTCAGAGTGAGAAACCACAGACTGTATAACAATGCTTTATGCTCTTGCTAGAAACTGAAGTGCCAGGGACTGCGAGGTAGCGTACAGATCATGAACTATGATATGTGATGGCTGAAGCATTTTATCCAAGGAACTAACTTCCATGTCTTTCATGTTAACATGTCCTATCTGGCGCATTATTGTTGTGCCTTCTTAAAAGCTCTGCACAACACAATATAGGCTATAATATATTTCGGGGGGGGGCTACTTAGGGGTTTATTTGAGTCAGATGTTGTGACCACAGGGGAGCTGTTGCACATTTTTATTATTTGTTGTGTTTGACTGAACC